CTTTGTGTGGCCTTCTTTCATGATTGTCTGTGTCTTTACATTCAAACTCCCCTTACTGTAAGTGCATACATTATTTTGGATTGAGAGCCCACTCTAATTCAGTATTATCTTGTAATAAGTTGATCATACCAACAAAGACCAAATATCCCAGATTCTGCATAAACATGAATTTTTGATGGACAGTATTTAACTTAGTGCAGGAGTGAACATTTGTCCACTAGCCTTTACAGTTGGGATAGGAGAAGGAAGAGGGGAAAGCAGAAGAGGAAGGAGAGGAAGATACTTTTAAACATGGTGGTAAAAGATTGAGTTTTGAACCAACGATATAGTGTCTTTATCATACCAGGCACTTGGGAAAATGAGGAAAACTAAAATAAGTCACATTGTATATGATAGCATCTACTGGGCCTATGGACCACTTAGGTATCTATGAGAAATGTTCATATATTGTGAGCTAAGAGAGAAAAATTTCTCCAATACTTGAGCAAACACTGTGAATAGCTGTGATGTACACATGAACATTCCCTGCATGTTCAGCTTATGCCTGTCATGACAAAAAAGTGAACAAATCATATAAAAATCTAGTGGGTAGTAAGATAATAAACTGAAAATTTTTAAGTAAAATGTATCTGATGACAATAGTACTATGGATTAAATAAGAAAGTAAAGGGGACCTAGAAAGTACCACTTTGGGATAGAGATGTTTGCTGTCAGATCCTCATTAATAAGATGGCAGCTGATCTGTGATGACAAGTTCATAATGACACTTATGAAAAAAATTATCCAAACTTGGGGAATAGGTGACAAGGCTGTGGACAGAAGCCATCTCGCCATGTTCCAGAACCACAGTCAAACCATTATGGACAAAGTGGCCTGGTGAGACAGGTGGCAAAAACCAGATTAAGAAGAACCTTGGGAGCCACCAAGCTTTGAACTCTGAAAGCTACAATAACAACTGACTTGACAAGATATTCCCTTTGATACAATAGTGGTATGCATGCTATGGGGGTAATGAACCACTTTCTGATAGACTCAGAGGCCCACTCTGAGATGAGAAGGAGAAGAGGAAGAATAAGAAAAAGAAGAGGAGGAAGAAGAGGACTTGAAGTTAGTAGGAGGAAGATGAGAGGATTCAGGAGGAGTTGGGGCAGAGGACATGAATATGATCAAAATACATTGAGTGAAATTCTCAAATAATTATTTTTTTAAACAACGTAAGACAGAAGTGCATTGCTTTTGATAATGCGTATTCCACGATGGGTAAGGAAGGCATTCTTGGCAGAACAACCTAAGACAGGTTCAGCCTTGTTTATGAAATAAAAAGCAGGGAGAGGCAGAGAGATTTTGGAGCTGCTCGGCAAGAATCTGACATGGGCCAAGGACAAGGAAATGGGCTGCTTGGCCAAAATACGACATTGGTCAAGGACAAGGAAGTGGGATTCAGGCGGGAATCTGACATTAGGCTTAAACAAAAGTAATTTCAGGCAGGAATCTAAATCTTAGGCTAGAACCAAGAAGTAGGCTTCAGACATGAAAATGACTTTGGGCACAGCAGCATCCTGACTCAACACATCTGCTTTAGGTATGGCAGCAGGGTCCAAAGTACGCCCAAGGACTTCAGAAACCATGCTGAAGTCACACAGCGAAGCAGGGACTGCCTTCATTCAGACCTAGCAGCTCCATGCAACCATGGCTGACACATCACTAGAGCACATGTGCCACCTGGACATTGACTTCTCACCCATCACAGCCCGCAACACTGGCATCATTTGTACCATTGGTCCTGCTTCCCGATCTGTGGAGATGCTGAAGGAGATAATTAAGTCTGGAATGATATGGCTCGGCTGAATTTCTCTCATGGAACCCATGAGTACCATGCAGTGACCATCAAGAACATCCATACAGCCACAGAGAGCTTTGCATCTGATCCCATTCTCTACCCTCTCGTTACGGTGACTCTGGACACAAAGGGACCTGAGATCTTGACTGGACTCATCAAGGACAGAGGCACTGCAGAGGTGGAGCTGAAGAAGGGAGCCACTCTGAAGATCACCCTGGACAACGCCTACATGGAGAAGTGTGACGAGAACATCCTGTGACTGGACTATAAGAACATCTGCAAGGTGGTGGAGGTGGGCAGCAAGATCTACGTGGACGATGGATGGGCTCATCTCACTGAGGTGAAGGAGAAAGGTGCTGACTTCCTGATGAAAGACATGGAGAATGGTGGCTCCTTGGGCAGCAAGAAGGGCGTGAACCTGCCCGGAGTTGCTGTGGACCTCCCTGCTGTGTCAGAAAAGGATATCCAGGACCTGAAGTTTGGGATGAAACAGGATGTGGACATGGTGTTTGCGTCTGTCATCCACAAGGCAGCCGACATGCATGAAGTTAGGAAGGTCCCGGGAGGGAAGGGGAAGAACATCAAGATCATAGCAAAATCAAGAACCAGGAAGGTGTCCTCAGGTTTGATGAGATTTTGGAGGCCATCGATGGAATCATGGTGGCTAATAGTGACCTGGGCATTGAAATTCCTGCAGAGAAGGTCTTTCTGGCTCAGAAGATGATGATCAGGCGATGCTACCGAGCTGGGAAGCCTGTCATCTGTGCCACACAGATGCTGGAGAACATGATCAAGAAGCCACGCCCCACCCGTGCTGAAGGCAGTGATGTGGCCAATGCAGTCCTAGATGGAGCAGACTGCATCATGCTGTCCGGAGAAACAGCCAAGGGGGACTACCCTCAGGAGGCTGTTCGCATGCAGCATCTGGTTGCCTGAGAGGCAGAGGCTGCCATCTACCACTTGCAGTTATTAGAGGAACTCCACCACCTTGGTGCCCATTACCAGCGACTCCACAGAGCTGCCACCGTGGGCGCTGTGGAGGCCTCCTTCAAGTGCAGCAATGGGGCCATTATCGTGCTCACCAAGTCTGACAGGAGTGCTCACCAAGTGGCCAGGTACCACCCTTGGGCTCCTATCATTGCTGCGACACACAATCCCAGACTGCTCGCCAGGCCCATCTGTACCGTGACATCTTTCCTGTGCTGTGTGAGGATGTCTACTTAATGCCTGGGCTAAGGATGTTGACCTTCGCGTAAACTTGGCCATGGATGTTGGCAAAGCCCGAGGCTTCTTCAAAAAGAGAGATATGGTCATTGTGCTGACCGGGTGCCGCCCTAGCTCTGGCTTCACTAACACCATGCGTGTAGTGCCTGTACCTTGACGGCCTCTGGAGCCCCTCTTCTAGCCCCTGTCCTTTGCCCTCCCCTATCCTGTCCATTAGGCCAGCAACAATTGTAATGCTCACTCTGGGCCATGATGTGGCGCTGTTGGGTTGGGACACCAGGGAAAATCAATGCCTCTGAAACATGCCCTAGAGCCTAGCTATTTTTCATGACCCTACTTGAGCCAGAGGTGAAGGAGGAATGCAGGATTGGAAACCCTCTGACTTTATCACAGAAGGGCAGCATCATCTCTGTGTACTTTGCTTCTGTAGAAAGTTGTCCAGAGAATTCCCAGCCCTCCCCTGTAGTCAGGATAAGGCAAGAGTAGGGGCTGAGGGCGTGGGGCCCAGGGGCCCAGTGTAGATGACTTTTGGTCCTGGCCCTGACTTGCTTTCTCAACAGCTTTGTCCTCCCCGCTCCTCCTCGTGCACTCCACTGCTGTCACTGCAGACACTCCACTCTCCACCTTGTATTCTGCAGAATCCCCAGGCCTGTTGCTATAGGCCCCACCTGAATATCAATAAACAGCAGCTGAAAAAAAAAAGAAAGAAAGAAAAGAAAACTACTTTAGGCTAGAACAGAGAAGTAGGCTCAGATATCTTGGTCATCCTGATAAGCCTTTAGAAATAGTGACCGTGATCACGGAACTTTGTTTATTGCCTTGCTTGTTCTTTGACTATTTGTGTTTATTGTCTTGCTTGTTCCTTGACTATTTGCATCTATTGTATTGCTAGTTCCTCAACCTAGAACTGACCTTACACTTGCATGTAAATAAAATGATATAAAAGCAAAAGGGAGGAGGGAAGTAGGATGGGGGTTTTGGAGGAAGGGAAGAATGAGGAAAGGGGATGACATCTGAAATGTAAAAAAGCAAATGTAAAAATTTTAAAAAAATAAGGCATTAAGAAGATCATAATGGCAATGATACAAATAAAATAAAAATCAGTCATAAAAAAAAAGAAGAGCTTCAAATTTGACTCTGAGTGATATGATAAGCCACAGGATGGTACTAAGCAAAGTCACATGACCTAACCTGAATTTTAACCAGTTCATGGACTGCTACATTAAGAATATATTGAGAATGCTGGACAACAATGGCACACACCTTTAATCCCAACACTTGGGAGTCAGAAGCTGGCAAATCTTGAAACTTGAGACTGGTCTGGTCTATGGAGCAAGTTCTAGAACATTCAGGACTGCTGAAAACTCTGCCTCCAAAAACCAAAAGCCAAAATAAATATATTGAGAGCTAGAAGCTGGGAATCCTAGGACATACCTTTAATCCCATCACTTGAGAGGCAAAGGCAAGTGAATTTCTGTGTGTTTAAGGCCAACATGATCTCCACAGTACGTTTTAAGACAATCAGGACTACATAGAGAGACACTCAAAAAAAAAAAAAAGAATATATTAAAGGCTACTGAGATAACTTAGTAAAAATCACTTGTCGGGCTGGGGGGATGGCTCAGTGGTTAAGAGCATGGACTGCTCTTCCAGAGGTCCTGAGTTCAGTTCCCAGCAACCACATGGTGGCTCACAACCATCTATAATGGGGATCTGACGTCCTCTTCTGGTATGTTTGAGGACAACAGCAGTGTACTCACATACACGAAATAAATTTTTTAAAAAATTACTTGTCATACAAGCTTGATGACCTGAGTTGACTCTCAGGTACCAACAGTGAAAGGAGAGAATTGACTCCTAAATATGGTCCTCTGATATTCATGCAAGTACTGTACACACACACACACACACACACACTCATAAAATTAATAAAATTGTGCTTGCTTTGGCAATATACAAACTATACTGTGAATGAAACGGAGAAGACTAGCATGGCTTCTGTGCAAGAATGACATAAAAATTTGTGAAATGTCTCACAATTACTTTTAAAAAGAATAGATTGAAGATATCAAGGATAAATGCATGTATGTCAGCTAGAAAAATAATCCAAAATGAGAAGTGAATGATAGTGATTTATTATGATGTCTATAGACAGAAGAGTAATGAATGGTCAAATTCTAGATGTATTTTGAAGGTAGAGCCTATGCAATTTTCTGGCAGAGAGAGAGAAGAGAGAGAGAGATTGAGAGAGAGAGAGAGAGAGATTGAGAGAGAGAGAGAGAAGAGTAGAAGGAAAAAGAGAAAAGGGGAGAGGATGATCATGGATTTTTATAGGCTGTACAACTAAAATGAGAGTGATCATTTACTGAAGAGAAAAGAGAAAATGAAGAGACTTAGGGGGATCAGAAATTAGATGATGAATATAAGTTTTTATATCAAAGCATAGGCTTTAAATTTGTGTGGATCCCAAGTTCAAAGAAGGAATCCATTGTCATGAAGTATGGAAATATTTAAAGCCACAGGACTCATGGCATCTGCTGCACTGAGTTGCTCATATTATACAGAGAATCATCAGACTCACCTTACAGGTCTTAGACGTAGTGTTTCCCTGAAGTTAGGTACACCATGATGCACATACATTTTATCATAACCCATAAACCACCTGGAATATGAGTATTGATAAAGTGCTAAACTCTGGGAACCTCCATTATTCAGAACCAAAAGAGATGTGTCGGAGTGAACAAAAACTGCGAAGAAGAGATAAGATAGGTGAGAAACCAGGAACTTGGCTTCTCAAAAGTTAGGAAACTTAGGGCCACAGACTAGAGACATAGACAGAACTCAGCATTTTGCTGCATACAAGAAATGCACCTCAGTGGCAATGACACACATTACCTCAGAGTAAAAGGCTGGAAAAAATTTTCCAAGCAAGTGGTCCCAAGAAACAGGCTTGAGGAGCCATTCTAATATTTAATAAAATCGACTTTCAACCAAAAGTTATCAAAAAAGATAAGGAAGGACACTTCATACTCATCGAAACCTAAATCTACCAAGATGAACTCTCAATTCTGAAAATCTCTGCTCCAAATGCAAGTGCACTCACATTCGTAAAGGAAACTTCTCTAAAGCTCAAAGCACATAATGAATCTCACACGATAATAGTGGGAGACTTCAACACCCACTCTCATCGATGGACAGATACTGGAAACAGAAACAAAACAGAGACACAGTGAAACTAACAGAAGTTATGAACCAAATGGATTTAACAGATATCTATAGAACATTTCATCCTAAACGAATATACCTTCTTCTCAGTACCTCATGGTACCTTCTCCAAAATAGACCATATTAATCTGTCACAAAACAGGCCTCAACAGTTACAAGAAGATTGAAATAATCCTATGCATTCTAACAGATCACCTTGGACTAAGGCTGGTCTTCAATAATAATTAAAAAAAAAACAGAAAGCCCCCACACACATGGAAGCTGAAAAATGCCCTATTCAATGATAACACAGACAAACAAGAAATAAAGAAACAAATTAAAAACTTTTTAGAATTTAATGAAAATGAAGACACATACTACCAAAACTTATGGTACACAATGAAAGCAGTGTTAAGAGGAAAACTCATAGCTCTGAATGCCTACAAAAAGAAACTGAAGAAAACATACACTAGCAGCTTGACAACACACCTGAAAGCTCTAAAACAAAAAGAAGCAAATACACCAAAGAGGAATAGATGGCAGGAAATAATCAAACTCAGGGCTGAAATCAACCAAGTAGAAACAAAAGGAACTATACAAAGAATCAACAAAACCAGGAACTGGTTCTTTGAGAAAAATCAACAAAAGAGATAAACCCTTAGCCAGACTAACCAGAGGGCACAGAGACAGTATCCAAATTAATAAAATTAGAACTGAAAAGGAAGACATAACAACAGCAACCAAGAAAATTCAAAAAAATCATCAGATCCTACTACAAAAGCCTATACTCAACAAAACTGGAAAATCTGGAGGAAATGGAAATTATCTGGAGGAAATGGAAAATTTTCTAGACAAATACCAGGTATCAAAGTTAAATCAGGATCAGGTAATCCATTCGAACAGTCCCATGAGCCCTAAAGAAATAGAAGCAGTCATTAAATGTCTCCCCTCCAAAAAAAGCCCAAGACCAGATGAGGTTAGTGCTGAATTCTATCAGACCTTCAAAGAAGACCTAATACCAATACTCTTCAAACTATTCCACAAAATAGAGACAAAAGAAACACTACGAAAATAGTCCTATGAAGCCACAATTACGTTTATACCTAAACCACACAAAGACACAACAAAGAAAGAGAACTTCAGACCAATTTCACTTATGAATATCAATGCAAAGATACTCAATAAAATTCTCAAAAACTGAATCCAAGAATACATCAAAAACAATCATCCATCATGATCGAATTAGGCTTCATCCCAGAGATGTAGAGATGGTTCAATATACAGAAATCCATCAGTGTAATCCACTATATAAAGAAACTCAAAAAAAAAAAAAAACACATGATCATTTCATTAGATGCTGAGAAAGCACTTGACAAAATTCAACAATCCTTCATAGTAAAAGTCTTGGAAAGACCAGGAATCCAAGGCTCATACCTAAACATAGTAAAAGCAATATACAGCAAATCAGTAGCCAACATCAAACTAAATGGAGAGAAACTTGAAGCAATCCTACTAAAATCAGGGACTAGACAAGGCTGCCCACTCTCTCCCTACCTATTCAATATAGTACTGGGAGTCCTAGCCAGAGCAATTAGACAACAAAAGGAGGTCAAAGGGATACAAATTGGAAAAGAAGAAGTCAAAATATCACTATTTGCAGATGATATGATAGTATACTTAAGTGACCCCAAAACTTCCACCAGAGAACTCCTAAACCTGAGAAACAACTTCAGCAAAGTGGCTGAATATAAAATTAACTCAAACAAATCAGTAGCCTTCCTCTACTCAAAGGATGAACAGGTTAAGAAAGAAATTAGGTAAATGACACCCTTCACAATAGTCACAAATAATAATAATAAAAATACCTTAGTGTGACTCTAACCAAGCAAGTGAAAGATCTGTATGACAAGAAATTCAAGTTCCTGAAGAAGGAATTCGAAGAAGATCTCAGAAGATGGAAAGATCTCCCATGCTCACAGACTGGCAGGATTAATATAGTAAAAATGGCCATCTTGCCAAAAGCAATGTAAAGATTCAGTTCCATCCCCATCAAAATTCCAACTCAATTCTTCATAGACTTAGAAAGACCAATTCTCAGATTCACGTGGAATAACAAAAACCACAATATAGCAAAAACCATTCTCAACAATAAAAGAACTTCTCAGGGAATCACCATACCTGACCTCAAGCTGTACTACAGAGCAATAATCATAAAAACTGCATGGTATTGGTACAAAGACAGGCAGGTAGATCAATGGAATAGAATTGAAGATCCAGAAATGAAACCACACATCTATGGTCACTTGATATTTGACAAAGGAGCTAAAACCAAACAGTGGAAAAAAAGACAGCATTTTCAACAAATGGTGCTGGTTCAACTAGAGGTCAGCATGTAGAAGAATGCAAATCAATCCATTCTTATCTCCTTGTACAAAGCTCAAGTCCAAGTGTATCAGGGACCTCCACATAAAACCAGATACACTAAAACTAAAACTGTAGTACAGAAAGTTGGGAACATGGGCACAGGGAAATTTTCCTGAACAGAATACCAATGGTTTATGCTTTTAGATCAACAATAAACAAATGGGACCTCATAAAATTGCAAAGCTTCTGTAAAGCAAAGGAAACTGTCAATATAGAACAAAAAGGCAACCAACAGATTGGAAAAAGATCTTTACCAATCCTACATCTGATAGAGGGCTAATATCCAATATATGCAAAGAACTCAAGAGGTTAGACTCCAGAGAACCAAACAACCCTATTAAAAAAACAGAGTACAGAGCTAAAAAAAGAATTCTCATCTGAGGAAATATCAAATGGCCAAGAAGCACCTAAAGCAAAGTTTAGCATCCTTAGTCATCAAGGAAATGCAAATCAAAACAACCCTGAGATTCCATCTCATACGAGTCAGAGTGGCTAAAATCAAAAACCCATGTGTCAGCAGATGCTGGTGAGGCTGTGGAGAAAGGGGAACACTCCTCCATTGTTGGTAGGATTCCAAGCTGGTACAACCACTCTGGAAATCAGTCTGGCAGTTCCTCAGAAAATTGGAAATAATACTATGTGGACCCAGTAGACCCAATTATACCACTCCTGAGCATATACCCAGAAGATGTTCCACCATATAAGAAGGACACATGCTCCACTATGCTCATAGTAGTCTTATTTATAATAGCCAGAAGCTGGGGGGAAAAAAACAGATGTCCTTCAACAGAGGAATGGATACAGAAAATATGGTATGTTTACACAATTTACTCAGCTATTAAAAACAATGACTTCGTAAAATTCCTAGGCAATGGATGGAACTAGAAAATATCATCCTGAGTGAGGTAACCCAATCACAAAAGAACACACAGGATATGCATTCACTGATAAGTGGATACAATTCACAGACCACATGAAGCTCAGGAAGAAGGAAGACCAAAGTGAGGATGCTTTGGTCCTTCTTAGAAGGAGGAACAAAATACTCACTGGAGGAAATACAGAGACAAGTGTGTGGAACAGAGACTTAAGGAAAGGCCATCCAGTGACTGCCCCACCTGGGGATCCATCCCATGTACAGACACCAAACCCAGACACTATAGCAGATGCCAAGGAGTACCTGCTGACCAGAGCCTGGTATAGTTGTCTTCTGATAGGCTCTGCCAGAGCCTGACAAATACACAGGGTGATGCTAGCATCCAACCATTGTACTGAGCATGGGGTTTCCAATGGAGAAGTTAGAGAAAGAGTTGAAGGAGCTGAAGGGGTTTGCAACCCAATATGAAGAAAAATATCAACCAACCAGACCCCCTAGAGCTCCCAGGGACTAAACCACCAACCAAAGAGAATACATGGAG